AGGAGTTAGTAAACGGGTTTTTTTGTTACCCACTGGGCGTTATTTCGTTGGCCAATCTTGTAATTATGACGTCACGTAACAATGCTTTGTGACATCATAAATCATGGTAATTGTTTCCGGATTAAAAACGGGAAATGTATTCCCATGAGAAACATGATTCTTCAGATATATCTGGATGTTGTGGGAGAGAAAGGTCCCCAAACCTGCGATGGTAGGTCATCATGTTCATCTACCTCTAGATAGTTCACTTTCAAATTGTAAAAGACACTTGGTAAACCTTGTCTTTGTACACTTCGAAAATTAACTAACGATCTAGGTAAACATGATAACCTACCATCAATCGTTAGGGAACTTCCAAGAACTGAAGTCTCCATAGCCCGAGTTTCCTCTGGCCCTGACACCAGACTTACGACATTTTGACAGATAGATGTCTGGTGTCAGGGCCAGAGGAAACTCGGGCTATGGAGACGTCAGTGTCCGCTTCGTATACACTCCACTTAAGGTAATAGGTTTGTGTCACCATTTCTCAGTAGGACTTCTTCAATTGTGTAGTTATATTGCTTTGAAGTAAAGAAAATTTTCTGCCACCAAAAAATAGGTTATTGGAATTTTAAGGATATTAAATGGAAATTTATGTAAAAAGGAGCGAATTTTGAAAAAAAATGTCAAAAAAAATGATACTGCCATAAATAAATATTGCATTAATGTATATCAATTTAATAAATGCTGAATTTGTGTAACATACTGTTCTGACAATAATAAACACACAATATTCATCAGTTTAAGATTAAACAATGGACAAAACTCTACTCATTAGAATATGCGGAAATTGTGATACCGACTCCCTACGTTGGATTTTCAACAAGGGATGTACTTCCTATTTCCTTTTATCAATACACTCATCGACCTGAAGTGGTGTGTATACGAAGCGAACACTTGGCTAGTGAAGATGTGGAGACATCAAAATTCAACTGGTTTTAACTTAAATGTTTGTGGAATAACCCAGAGGAACCTCGGGAAGATCCTTCAACTATTTTCTGAGGAATAATGATTAATAGAATCTTCCCCTACCTTGAGGGTGTGACAGAGAAATCTCCAACCCGAGGGGAGATGTTTTTTGGTTGTCTAACCTGAGGGTTAAGACAATCAAAGAAATCACCCCGAGGGTTGGAGATTTCTCGGTTACACCCTCAAGGTAGGGGAGGATTATTTTTCTCCCATCCAATTATTTCAGTCACAGCTCCATCGACAGTAGTCTGCCATGTTTGTAAACAAAACACATGTGGGGTATGCATATCGTCATTCACTTACACCAATTGACACTAATTGACACCAGGCCATCTCCCCCTAAGGGGCAACAAGCTGATCTTTCCCGACTAAAACGGGAGACACGACTGTGAAGGGTGGGAGAAACCAATTTCAATTGGTTTTATTGATGTTTAACATCCTGCTACAGCCCGTCATATGTAGGGGAAACTTGTTAACTCATTTCATTCAAACTTCCTTGTAAAACTGGACACAGACAACGGTTAAGAACACACAAGACATTGTGGTAGAATTCAAAATTGCTTTCGAAACTTGGCAATATAGTATAACTGTTCAGCATCTTCAGCATCTTATCCAAATTACTTTATCTTTTTTAATTGTTGATGACTATCAAAATAGTGCATAAGCCCTTATTTTTTATACATTATGTTCACATTAATTTGATTCATACGGTCTTGATCCTTTTTGAACATTTATGACATTTTGAAATTCATACTGTCTTGATCCTTTTTGAACATTTGACATTTTAAAATAATAACAAATTCCTTCTGTGGTTTTTTTCTTTATTTTTTTTCCCCTATTTACAAGATGACAATTACTGTGCAGGCTTTCCACGTCCGAATCCACCTCTCTGTAAACAAAACAAAAAGGTTTGCATTAGAGAATTGTACTTACATATAACATGATTACCATGAATAAACCTATTAAATCAAAGTTTGTCATTTAGAACTGTCATGTGGAGGGATAACATATTGTATAAACATAACTAGTCTTAGTATACATGGATATCACAAAATGACAAATTTTTAAACTTGTTTTACTGATTTTTCTTCTTCTTCAAAATAGGTCAAAAGTAGATTTTAACATCATAGTAGCTAGTTGAATTGATGAGAATACTTACGAATTGGAACTGTGTGTCGGCACCTGGTCCAACATCGGTCTTCTTGTCTCCGCTGGCTGTAAACATCAACATTTCAGTTTATAACGAATGATCATGTAACTTTCAAATGGGTTTATTTTACGAAATAAAAACCAGAATATTGGAGGAATTATGAAAAAAATACAATCAACCCTTTCTTAATCAACCCTATCTTTTTTTAACAATTTGACTTGAAATGATCACCTCATTGTCAGAAAGACAAACATATTTAGATTCAAGAAATGTTAAAATTTCAATTGAGAAACTAGACAATAGGATTGACTATTTTTTCTCTGCCAATGCTTTAGGACAAAAACACATAATTTACAGTAGATATTTCCAATCGAAGAGAAGTTCTGTGCAATACAATTGGTTTTAGCAAACAGCTTATTAGAACACCATAACTAAAGAGTTTGCATTTCAAGTTATCTTTCCTTTATCATTTGAAACTTACGTGCTGGTGCGCGTCTGTACTCGGACCTGTCGCTGGGTCCGGAGCCTCTTTGTGGTCCCTCTGGACCTAAAAGAAAATTTGAATGTAACAGTTAATATTACAGACTGGGACTTGGGACCCTAAACCAACCCTCTACACCAAGATCACAATATGACTGAGAGAGACGAATTTTAATCTATGTAACTAATGCACTGTAGTGCCTTTTATTCTAATTATCTAAATATTACTTATAAAACAAAAATATTTTCAAACCTACAATTTCGAGTTCCTTTGAGAACAACATTCCATCATATCATTGCACAATTATGATAACGATCATCAGGTTATGATGCAGGATTTTACTAGCATCAAATCCTTGATAAAACAATTAAATACCTAGTAACTTCGTCATTTGTTGTTGTTGACAAAACACTGATTTTCGGCGCATATTTTATTTCTATCTTCAACTAATATTATTAATAAAACGTGTATAAATGATACACACCCTTGGGCCTAGGCCGGGCGGTTTCTGGCCTTGTCTGTCTCTTGAGTGTGGCAGGGACAATCTCCGCTGGAAGGTGGAGGAAGTCCCTCAGGTACTGGATACCTTCATTGGTAAGGTACCAATAAAAGTGACGCCACGCAAACTGTTCCCTGACATATCCCTGGGACTTCAGAGACTAAAAACAGAAAGTTGAATACATCTTAGTTCATTTTGTACATCTTTTTAAGGTAGTGCAAAAACTGTTGCATGCATCAAAGATATGAAACTTATCTTATCTGGCAAATAAGTATGTTCACCCTTCTGAAGCAAAACCCTAGGGCAAAAGAAATTATATTAGGATCAGTCAAATGGGGATTAGGAAAATAATAAGTTTGTTTCAGCTATCACTAAAAAATAGGGTAGGTCATTGAATTTCCCATAATAGTTCTGGTGTCAATGTGGGTTTTTGTTCCAAATTTCATCCCAGACTCCATTTCTCAAAACCCCTTGATGCCTATACTTTTAATAGCACTCATTTGTTCCCTTAGTGGCATCATAATAAAGTTTTCCAGAGCTTGTGTTTGTTGTTAACGGAGTTAATTTCATTAGTTTAATTAAGATTATCATTATTACACATAACAATAAATTGTAGGACAAGATATATATGACATACCGTCAATGCCTTGATGACGTGAAGATTGGGGACATCAATCTCAGGATGTTTGGGCATTCCAAAATCCTTCTTTGCTACAAGGACGCCCTCCTTGAACAAATACTCAAAAATTTGCACACGGTTCTTCTTGGGCATCAACATCCTGCGATAAAAAAGAATTCAATCAATATTAACACCAACTTTACATGATTTGCTCATTAATTACAGGGATTTCTTATTCATGACCCTAGCTGCGATATCGTAGCTTTCTGACGAGAGATTTTTTTTTATATATTGCGTTGTCAGAGAAGGCCGGGTATTAATATTAGTACCAAGTTGACCCTCGACATATATCGGTTTTAGAAGTCAAATACAAGTTTCCCTGAATTTTGGAGAGTCAAAACAAATGTCAAATAGACCTGTCCTTAACCCCATATACACATATTCTTAAAGTGGAACTGGAGTGGGTCGATAATCTGCAACCAGGTAGCCCAACTTGTAGAGCATCCATAAAGAGTTTGGAGGTATTGTGTGGCACATGTGTATTGTTTGAATTTGATCAAATTAACTGGAAGAAATTTTGATTGGATGGCACACACTATTGATGTAGGTTTCTCCAAGGATAGAGTTCGGACGGTCCCGGGCTAAGCGAAATGTTCGGCTTTCAATGGTCTATTGCAAATGAAAGCCCTGAATTGGTTTTACTTTGTTTTGTTTAGTAGTTTTAGTATACAAACTAGAACATGGCTGATTTCACTGATGTATACCTTTAACGACTGTCTCATCGATAACCATGTCAAAATTAAAGCAAATAATAACAGGTCGGCCATGTGAACTATCGATACTCCTAATGTATGGAATTGTCACTGTTGCGTATCATATAATGTAGGCAATTGCGTCGATGCAGATATTGACAATAACCACAGACATGAGGACCGTCAAAATGCATATTAGTTACTGTGAAAAGTTGTCTCTTATAACGAAACAGCTACGTAAAATGGATATAAACACCACATTTGCAAAGGACTAAATGGGGGCTAGTTGAAAGTCTGATCCATTTTGACAACAATCCATAGTATTTTTAAGGAAAATCTTGATAGCTTTGGGCAAAGATGTTTCTTGCTATTATTTATTGGCAATAATTATGGCGGATTGGTGTCTTTTAGTGATGATATTAGCCGGATTTATATATGAATTACACTCACTTTGCCAATAGAATATGGCGTCAAACCGGAAAAGGAAGTGGATTTAGTAGTTCTCGAAAAGGCCGAGACCGGGGGGGAAAATGGCAGCTTACAGACGTGTTACTGAGATCTTGGTCTGTTTGCTGTGCTTTTTCAATCAAACCACGATATCTGGCAAAAGTTACACAAAGGACGAAATAAACAAATACAGGTAATTTTAAAGAAATAGCGTTTAAATTGTGCTTGCGGAAACATGATGTTCGTTTGCTCTCCACTGATTCCAAAAATTCGTCTGCTAACTGTGAAAAAGGCTAAGATTTTTTCTTATCTTTCGATATTTTTCTTGAGACATATTCACTAAATTACTTTATAATAATTCAATGACATCAAAGAAACTGACATACAATAGTGTTTGTATGAAGCATGATGTACATCTGTGATTATATTATGAAGCTAGCTGCTGCTCCTTTTGTGCTTTATTATGTTAGATTGTGTACTGAAGCAGAGACGTATATAACGTCTCTGACTGAAGTATGCTTTATATATATATATCTTAAATTTTGAGTTTGTGAAAACATTTTTATGATATGTTATCAGCCTGTGATATGTTTCAAAATTTATCTGTGATTATGTTGAATATATGACCTTTTATAAGAATATAACAAAATCCTGAATTACTGGTGTGCAGGTGGAGCATACCATGCTGGTAGGGGGCTCATCCCCAACCCTTGCAGCTGACCATGTACCACACTGTACTTTCCTTTCTTAAGTTCTTCTTTTATATCTTTCCTTCATCTCATAAGCAAATGTGATCAAATAATGAATGAAATTCAACATGTGATAAATGTAAAATGCCACTTTTACCGCATTAAATATTATTATTATTATTATTTATTTAAATTTAAATTTGTTTTATTGGATGCTTCCTCTCTTCATCTGTTAGACTTCCTCCGTCGATACCGACGATTACGGAAGTAGGGTCGTGGTGCTGTTGTGTGTTAATTATGTACAGTGATTATTTTTTATTTTTTTTGTTATTTGCTATAGGATAAAAACAGGTTAAAAGCATTGAGTGAGTGTTAGTTATGTTGTAGTTTTTGTATATGTTCTGCTAGTGTATTTGATTGAATTTTTGTTGTGGGAAGGAGGTTCCATTGTATTATGGTGTATGGAAAGAATGAGTGTCTGTATGTGTCTTTGGATGTGTAGATATGTCTGTAAATACGGTCATGTCCTTGACGTGTTCTGGTGTCTGCTGGGATGAGATTGTTAGTGTGTATTGCTACTTGTTGGTTTATTATTTTGTACAGAAGAATAATGCGTGTTCTTGTTCTGCGTGTGTGTAGTGTTGGCCAATTGTATCTCTAATTGTATCTTTTACAGCATGAACATATCTTGTTTAATTAATGAAACCTTGTTTTATGTATGTTTTATTTGTTATTTTGATTGTAAAAGCTCACTAAACGAGCTTGTGTTTATCTTTGTAATCATATCGACGTTAAATAAAATTTATTTGACTTGACTTGAGGCCCACAGGTGCTAGCCTCTAACGTTAGTGCAGGCAAATTCGCCACCATGTGACAAAAATGTCATATGGCGTTATAATGCATAAGATATGACGTAAAAAAACTGACACCATTGTGACAGTTAAAGCCTTCAAACATTTTAACATGAAGAATTGTAAGAAGAGAAAAGTTATGCTATTGTAACAGGAGAAGGAGAAATGCCAACAGCCGGACCGGGGTTAGAAACAGTTTTGAAATCACTTGTAACACGATAAATCTTAAAATTATTTTGTCTCTGCAACGGACATTTCATCAACTAAACTCATTAGTCTAAGGTCTGTTGGTTGTGATTTAGTGTAAATGCTACTACATACTAATTGAATATACCATACATGTATCTTAACACTAATTGCAGTTTTATGGTCGACTGTGCCATACATGCAAATAAATCCAATTTTCTACTAGTACACAGTGGTAGATGCAATGTACTGATGACCCAATGCTTGTTTACGGAAATGATGCTTGAAAGTTTTTGTTTATTCTTTTTCCTTTTTCGTGCAATGTGTATTTAGAAAACACTCGAGCAGTATCTTTCTAAAAGTATTGTTTGAATCTAACATTCAGCCATCTTACAACACTTGAATTGAATAGCATTTAGAAATTTTCTAGATTTATATCTGAAACAAAATTGTTGAAAGCTTCAGACCCGATACAATTTGGAAGTTCATGTTTGTTCAAGACGGAGTCACAATTGCGTTGCATGTAAATTGACCTCATCTCAAACGATCCCTGCTATCTTACCTAAACAGCATGCATTAATCAGTTTCACTATTACAACTAGGAAAAGCCATTTATTTCAATGTTATTCATTGTTATACCCAAACATTTGGAGCTGTTCATATTAGTATGACTTGTGTAACATCATAATACAAAATTTTAAATAAAAACACTTACATTACTTGCAAATTCGTGAAATGTTTGATGTTGTACATTTTAAGCTTGGTGTTTAATTCATTTGCAACATCTAAAGTGATATGAGAATGGATGAGACAAGGGAGAAACTGCCATTAATGAAAGAGTAGGTAGCTTTAGGAAAGAAAAGAGATGCCAAGAGTTTCAGATCAGGTTTGGGATGATCAGTATCCCAATTATTAGTAGAAGACAAAGGATACTCTCTGTTTCTGCAGGGGGGCCCCACATTACAGACCGATATAAAAAAGTCGATAAAACGTCAGAATAATTCGGACTACACATTAGCTGCCTTGTACGATAACATGCTGTGGGGTACAGCTGGTCTATTTCTTTACAAGAGCCTGCTGATGGTCACTTGTAAAGGTTCACCAACTAGTAAAATACATTTGTTTGTATTCCTGTAGCGGAAAAAAAAAGAATGAAAAAGTCTATTGACTTTAGCTATGACTTAAGCATAATGTCAACAAATCTGTCTTATTGCCATATAAACTATAGCCTAGATTTGTTTTTGTATAGGGTGTATAGCTATTTAGTCATGTATAGGCCTATATTATTTCAATTTATCTTTGCTAGAGAAAGAGTCCTGCAGATGTTCCATCATGCTTATGACGGCTATGTGAACTATGCCTATCCTTACGATGAACTCCGACCTTTGACCTGTGATGGATTTGACACATGGGGCAGGTGAGAGATACATTTGGTTTATTTTAAAAAAGGCATTGCACAGATTTTAAAAAATAATCCTATATTATTATACAACATTATTATGTGTAGGATATAATTCTTTTGAACTGCTGAAAATTACTTAATGAACTGAAATCAAGTGTGTTCAAATGTGCGTGTACATATATGAATTACAAGCCAATGCAGTTCACTGTAAGTACAGATCTCAAAAGTTCTGAACTTTATTGGACAGACTGTAATATTAAGGTGTCACGAGAGGGCAGTGTAACACACTTCCCTTTTACTGTTTATGAATATACCACTGAAACCTGGTTTTGTGCTCCACTAATATATGCAGAGTTATGGGCCTTTGTTCGCCATGTGTGACTTTTTCGGGACATATCTAATATTATAATTGTCATCTAAAAGTGTCAGATTTTGCATGCATGAGAATCTATTCAATGTCAGAGTGTTGCATACTGAAATTGAGTCTCGTGCCAAACTTTATAGAAATTATATAATAATATAATACCCCTTTGTTCATTTTTTTATAGAATTTTTTCTAGAGGTGTGGGACAATGTATTGCCTACATTGCATTGCTTTGTTGAGTACTTGAGTACTTGAGTAAGAAAAGCAGTTTAACTTTTTGCTATAGAATAATCTATGATTTTGAATTGAAAGATAAGTCAGGTTTCAGCAAGATTTTATTGAATACAGAAGTCCAATTAAAAAAAGACAAGCTCCAGCATTTTGGAAATCTTGAATTTAATCTGCAGTTACTCTTTGACGCTGATTGACGCTCTGGATACACTGGCGATCATGGGGAACTACTCGGAGTTCAGACGAGTAGCTCACCTCGTGTCACAGAAGATGGACTTTGACGTTGATATTAATGTCTCAGTGTTTGAAACAAATATCCGAAGTAAGTGAATATTACTGACTTATTTAAATACAAGTAGTCTTGATCACTGTTGATGTATTTTTATAATCTGTTCTTTATTCTAAAAATCCCAAGTAGCTGATACATGTAGCATGCCTTAAATGGACAATTAGAAACAATCATGGCAATGTCATCCCTTTTCTCCTTGTATTATAGAAAACTGATGTTTGCCCAGGTGATATCACACAAAGCTGGGATACATAGTGGTGTATGTTGTATGCAACGGTGCTTGGCCAAGTTTGTGTGGCCTGTATGTTACTGTACTTGAGTTTCTATCAGCCCAACTGATGTCGCACAGACCATAGTGATGTATACAAATATGTTACAGTACTTGAGGGGAGGGGGTGGGGCTCCTGTCGGCCAATCTGATGTCATACAGGGCTCCATAGTGATGTGTGTATGGTATGTTTCTGTACTTGGGGTCTCCTGTAAGCCCATTTGATATGACACAGGACAGTGCTACATAGTGATATGTACTTTTTTATTTTGCAGTACTGGGAGGTCTCCTGTCAGCCCATCTGTTGTCACACAAAGCGGGGCTTGGTGTAGAGCCAGGCTGGCCATGCTCTGGTCCACTTCTGTCCATGGCGGAGGATGTCGCTCGGAGGCTTCTCCCAGGTAGGGAACTAAACTTAATAGTCACAGATCTTATTCTACTGGTTAGTGATTGAGAATGTATGATCATTACTATACTCAATTATCCTGTTCCTTCATATTAGAATTCCTTCCAAACTGGTAATGTTAACAAGGGTAAGAGATTATATCATTCTTTCAAATTTAATCCACAATGATTTTTTTATGCTTTGAATTCTGCATTTACAAGGTATCACAATTTATATTGCGAAAACTTCATGTAAAAAAAGCATATACATGCACAAACATTGTATGGTGAAACTATTATTAAAAGACAAAATAATATAATATTTGTCTCTTTCTTCAATTTCTCCAAATAGGTTATCATTATCAATCTGTATGCATTTACATTTTTTCCTTTGAAAATGATTTTCAATTTGATATATTTTTTCAATGTATCCTAATTTTAATAAGATATATTGAAAGTAAACTGAAATAAAAAATAAAATTGTCCAATGCATTTTATAAAGGAAAATGAACAATACAGATTTAATTCAAGTATTCACTACAAGTATTTACACTGCAAATGATACCAACTATGTAGTAAACACTGGTTCATAATTCCTAGAACTGATATTAATCCAGACATAAAACAACAAATAAAAGATCATTTATACTTACATTTTATTTTTTGTCACATTGTTTTAGCATTTGACACGATGACAGGGATGCCGTATGGGACAGTCAACCTACGACATGGTGTACCCAAGGGGGAAACCCCCGTCACTTGTACAGCAGGGGTGGGCACCTTCATCGTGGAGTTTGGAACCCTCAGTAGGCTTACGGGGGACCCTGTGTTTGAGAAAGTTGCAGTGAGGGCTCTCAGAGCACTGTGGAACTACAGGTCACAACTTGGCATGGTAAATACCAGAAAAGATCAATTGAAATAAAAAAAGAAAGTTGATTGTCTCCATGAAAAATCTTGTAGCAACTCCCATTTTAAAATAAATCATTACAGTACTATGATTGCCCAAATTCAAAGAAATGTGATAATCACTTGTATACATTGTATTAATGTATTCAGTCCTGAACTTATGTCAGACTGGTAAGAATGTACAATTCTACTTGTTGAACATCTGGGTAAAATTTATGTCACGTCTTAAGGAAATTTTCAAAATATTGATTGGGCTTATAGAATTTTTTCAAAATCTGCACAGGGCAAGGATGAAATTGAACACCTCTGGACTAGGTTAGTCATATGTAGGCATTTATTAATAAACGTGGTATGTACTACCACAGGTATTGTGAAACTGTGGTAGAATTTCAAAATACACCATGAGGTTCTAAATACCAAATCACTACAGTACTTCTCAGTAAAAGTTAAAGTGTTCAGCTAAATGTTCAACAAGGTTTTCCCTCTGTAGGTTGGTAACCATGTGGATGTAAACACAGGGAAGTGGACGGCACTGGACTCTGGTATCGGGGGAGGCATAGACTCTTACTTCGAGTACCTGGTCAAGGGAGGGATCATGTTTGAGATTCCAGAACTCCTGCAGATGTTTCATGGTCAGCAAAGAAAAAACATTTGCCTCTTCATTATTTCTTTTTGCAATCTCTTGAGGCAACATTTACTGAATCACCTCTGCAGTCATCATCAGTGTATCAGGTCACGCATTTGATATTTACAGTTCTCAGTCTCAGTATTTATTGTTTCTTCCTTATTTTTCATCTGCAAAATGTAGTTTAATTAGATCATTAAACTGAACATATGTAATATGCAAGTTAGAAAGGTGTTTATGTAAAAATTTGTAATCAGAAAAGAGGATGATTTCTGGAATTTAAATTATATAGATATTCAATTAATTTTAATGGAATTGCGGAGTCAAGGTGTACAGTAATATGGCAATTTATAATACATACTCGTATTTAAGGTTGCCAGTGTAGAAACAGATGCAAAAAGGATGAAAAATATTAATTATTGAATTAGCAGCACCAGTAAAGCAAAAATAACTCTGATAAGTTTTAAAATGTCAGACGGTAAATTTTTGACTGAATGGGCAAAAACTATCACAATTTACAGTTATTCCTGGATAAACTTTATGATTTTATTTCCAGAATACGAAAAGCCAATCAATAACTTCATGAAAAGAGATGACTGGTATCTATGGGCCCACATGAACAAAGGGGGGATAACTCTGCCAATGTTCACCTCTTTAGATGCATACTGGCCAGGAATACAGGTAAGACCATAAAAATGCATTTATTGTCTCAAATGTATGAAAAGAGTATTTGATAACTTGTTATGCTATGCAAATTTCATGCCTTAACCACTGAGCTATATATTTTAAACACCATCTTATATAAGCATACTAAATAGCTGTAAATAGGAAACTTAACCATATAAATCAAACCAAAAGTGTGAATGTCATTATTTCTGAGAGAGTTGTCTCCCATGTTACACTCAATGTACACTTATTTGATTAATGGAACAAATATTTGTACTTACACCATCATGTACAAAGTAGTATACTGACTGGTCAGTTACCAAAAGAAGAAATAAAAAAAAGATGAACCTGAACCTGGCTTTAGTCCATTATAAAAATAAATGACTGACCACTAGCTGCGGTGGCTGAGTGGTTAAAACGTCTAACTGTCTACTATCACTAGCCTTCCACCACTGGGTTGCTGGTTTGAGACCTACATGGGGCCTTGGCCAGGTAATTGTCTCAGGTCGGTGGTTTTCTGGGGATACTCTGGCTTTCCTCCAACACCAAAACCTAGCTCGTCCATACAGTACAGGACCATAGCTGTTATGGATCCACAAACCACTGCAAAAACAAAGAAACTATGCACTTGAAACTTATTTTTCGGGCATGAATATAACTTTTATAAATCATATTTGAACAGAAAAGTATACCTTGCAGAACTTTAATGAAAACATACCGTGTAGCTTTAAATCAACAAACGTGTTCTTAGTTAAGGGGAGGTTACTGTATATATGGGGAAAGGCAGGGCAGTGGGACACGGATCCTTAATAGAACTAAAGCACAAACAAGCAAACAAACCATATATGTGTGACTGACCAATTCGTTAACTGCCATATGGCCATCAGCCTATGTAATGCTAGTTTCATATAGACAGTAACACAGACATGAACAATTTATAAATGATAAATATTTCCTTCGCTTTAGAGCATGCTGGGGAACATTGATGGGGCCATGAAGACTATGCATAACTTCCACCAAGTCTGGAAGCAGTATGGCTTCACACCCGAATACTACAATATCCCGAAAAATGAGGTTCATAATGGAAGAGAAGGCTACCCTCTTAGGCCAGGTATACCACTCAACATTTATATATACTGTATACAGAGAAGTTTCGCTGCAGTTCAGTTTTCGAGTTTATGGGAGAAGGGCCAAAATTTCACTGGGCCAAAATTTCCCGGGATACAATAATCCTTTTGATGTGTCAAATGATACAAATTTCTTAAAATGGGGAGAAAATGAGTGAAAACATAAACAAATATCTATTTTTATTATTTAAAAACAATAAAAATGTCTTATATTGAGACAAAATTAAGAAAAACCAATTATTAAAAATAAAGTACAGTAAAACCTCATTATAATACAATAATTTTTCCAGAGAAATATTTGCATTATAAAAGTGTTTGGCAATAGACTGCCTCCCATATTATTGTGATTCTTCTGTCTTAAATTATTATTTAAAATGAAAACAGGAAAGGGTTGAGGATACAGTTCCTTTGCTTAAACATAATTAGGGCCCCGTATCGGAGATATGGGTGCCCTATAGTAATCACTCTGTCTGTCTGTCTGTCCGTCTGTCTGTCTGTCTGTCCGTCCACAAATTTTGTTCCTGGCTGATTACTTTGGTATTTATTGACCGATGTACATGAAACCTGGTCAAGATGTTTAGTTCATAAAAGTACACATTGAGGTAAAAAGTCAAGGTCAAGGGTCAAGGTCATTAGGTTCAAAGGTCAAGGTCAAATTTTGTAGCTTTTCACTGGTGAACATTTCGCTATGACATTATGGACCAAAGTTGTTCGAAATTAAACAAAGAGACACACTGAGGTAAAAAGTCATTCAAAGGTCAAGGTCATTGGGTTCAAAGATCAAGGTCAAATTTTACATCTTTTCACTGATGAACATTTTGTTATGACATTATGAAGCAAAGTTGATCAGAATTAAACAAGGAGTCAACTGACTAAAGGTCAACGTCATTGGGTCAGGGGTCAAGGTCAAATTATGCACCTTTTCACTGATGAACATTTTGCTATGACATGATGAAGCAAAGTTGATCAGAATTAAATCTGATCAACAAGGGGTCAACTGACAAAAGGTCAAGGTCATTGGGTCAAAGGTCAAGGTTAAATTTTGTATCTTTTCACTGGTGAACATTTCGCTATGACACTTTGAAGCAATGTAGCTCAGATTAAATAAGAAGTCAATTGACCAAAGGTCAAGGTCACTGGGTCAAAGTTGAAGGTTACATTTTGTATCTTTTCCTTGATGAACATTATGACATTATGAAGCAATGTTGTTCAGAACTTAACACAGAGTCAACCGACCTTAGGTCCAGGTTACGGGTTTCAAAGGGTCAAGGTCAAGTTTTGTATTTTCACTGATGAACATTTTGTTATGATATTAAGGAGCAAAGTTGGTCAGAATTAAAGAATAAGTCAACTGACCAAAGATCAGGGTCACTGGGTTAATGGTCAAGGTCATTTGGGTCCAAAGGTCAAAGACAAAGTGGATCTCTGACTTTGACCCTGGCTCTTGATGGAGGAGGTATATAAGGTTAAATAAAACAAATCAAAGCTAACAAATGAGTATTGCACCGGTTTTTACATTTCTGTTAGCCCAGCAAATATGGAGGTGGAAGGAAATCAAGACTCACATCATAGTACATATAAAATGTATATTTTGCTTCCTTGCGATTCTTTTTTAAGTCCACATATCAAACGTCAAGCTCAGCTATATGGGCAGATTGCTTCTTGATGATTATGGGGGATATATTGCCACAAGACGGGGCCCTTACTGACCAGTCAGTGTTCTAGTTATGTTCAATCTTCAAATGAAAACCTTTCTTGAAACTGCTTCAACAAATATAATCATCAAGTTCATTTTTTGGTACTTTAAGTAACTCTGAAAAGTATAGAATTTATTATTGAGCTATTTAAAATTATTTAATAATTACAATATCATATCTAAAGCATTATATATATGTGTTAGGGACAAATCAGAAGATCATTTGAAAAGATATATACTGTACATGTATATCTCTGTGATGCTCAATACACTGTATTTTTGGGGTTGCCGTTGCCGTGTAGTTAAGGTGTCTGACCATCTAAGATCACTAGCCCCTCTACTACTGGGTGGTCGGGTGATGCAGTGGATAGCGCACTTGCCTTTCCCAGGGTGGCCGGGGTTCGATTCCCCGATCGGAGGTGAAGAGGTATGGGGTCACCTGCCCGACCACGTGGGTTTTTTCTGGGTACTCTTGTTTCCTCCCACAAGAAGACCCCCNCCCCCCCGCGCAATAACATCCGGGCCAACAAGAGTGATTAATATAAGTTGAAATAACTTGTTTCATAATAAAGTTTATATTAATATTTACCACTGGGTCGCAGATTCAAGGCCTACATTTGGCAGTCGCCATGTACTGACCTGAATTTGGTGTTTTTTCTGAGCACTCGGGTTTTAATCCATCATCAAAACCTGGTATGTCTTAAAATGACCATAGCTGTTAAAAGGACATAAACCACAAACAAACTGAACAAAACACTGTATTTTTCAGAGTTGATAGAGAGTGCTATGTACCTGTATAGAGCCACCAAAGATCCTTACCTGCTGGAAATTGGAATAGATATACTGGAATCAATAGAACACAGCACCAAGACCAAGTGTGGTTACGCCACGGTGAGTAGTCTGTGAGTCTAAATATAGAACACAGCACCAAGACCTAGTGTGGTTACCCAACGGTAAGTAGTCTGTGAGTCTAAATATAGAACACAGCACCAAGACCAAGTGTGGTTACGCCACGGTGAGTAGGCTGTGAGTCTATAGAACACATCACCAAGACCATGTGTGGTTACGCCACGGTAAGTAGTCTGTGAGTCTAAATATAAAACACAGCACCAAGACCAAGTGTGGTTACGCCACGGTAAGTAGTCTGTGAGTCTAAATATAGAACACAGCACCAAGACCAAGTGTGGTTATGCCACGGTAAGTAGTCTGTGAGTCTATAGAACACAGCACCAAGACCAAGTGTGGTTACGCCACGGTAAGTAGTCTGAGTCTTTAGGACACATGTACATCACCAAGACAAAGTGTGGTTACGCCACGGTAAGTAGTCTGTGAGTCTATAAAACACAGCACCAAGACTAAGTGTGGTTACGCCACGGTAAGTAGTCTGTGAGTCTATAGAACACAGCCACAAGACCAAGTGTGGTTACGCCACAGTAAGTAGTCTGTGAGTCTATAAAACACAGCACCAAGACCAAGTGTGGTTACGCCACGGTATATAGTTTGTAAGTGTTTAAAAACAAGACAGAAAACAAAGTGCATTTACGCCATGGTAGGCAGCCTGTTATAGGAATCTATATGTCCATGGCACAAAGATGAGTGAAACAAAATAAAAATGGACAAGTACCGAATGTAGTTATGCCTTTGTCTGTAGTGTACATCAATGAATACATTTCAAGTCCAACAACCAACAAAAGGTTAGTGTAGCTGAAGGATTCCCTTTTTGCTATTATTCTTAGGCAAACATTCATGAATAAGAAATCATGATTTCATGCTTTCAAATATTTTTGGGCTCATTGCAATTACTGTTTGTTCCATTTAAAAGGCAGATGTATGTGTTCAAGAGAATTATTTGTTTATCTTTATATTTCAGGTGAAAAATGTAGCAACACATGAACTTGAAAACAGAATGGAGAGTTTTTTCCTGGCAGAAACAACAAAATATCTCTACCTGCTTTTTGACACAGAAAATTTCATCCACAGCAATGGTAGTTCAGGCACTGTCATTCAGACCCCTAATGGGGAGTGTGTGATTGATGCTGGTGGGTACTTCTTCAACACGGAGGCTCACCCTATAGACGTCGCCAGTGTATACTGCTGTAGCGCTCAGAAAAAGGAAGATGACAAAGTCATACAAGGCATGCATGACCAACTTGACCTATTGTCAATGTTTGGCATCGTGGAGCCATCCGACACTGTCAGAGGTACGAAGTGGAAAAAACTTCGCAAAGATATAGAACAACAGCAACAACAGGAAGCTATTCTCCAAAAACTGGAGCAGAGCAAGCTAGCGTCTCTTAAACGGGAAATTGTGGAAATTAAAGCAGAGACTAAAGAAACAGTTAAAGTCATCATAGGTGATAAACAATCTGAAGGAGAAGAAAATAATCAAGATGTTAAAAAAGTCAAAATTAATATTTCAAAACCTGCAGACTTAGGACAGATGAATGGCGAAAATCAAAATTTAACAGCAGCACTAGATTCTTTGACTGATATACTACAAGATAAAGATAGTGACGATAAAAAAGATCAGGATAAAGAAAGTGAAGACTCTCAAAGTACTGAATCTGAAAAGGAGAAGAATCTCACTCCCACAGACTCTGACTCTAACAGTGTGGACAAGGATAAATTAGAATCAGTAGATAATATTGATAAAACAGATGCAGCTTCCCAACCTACAGAACCTGAAAAGCAGAAATTCAGTGACACTTCTCAACCAAAGGCCCCTACAAAGTCATTTGCAGATCATGTGAAAGAAAAGTCTGCAAAAACAAGTTCTTTGAACTCCGCAACAGCCAATTTAGATAAATTATTTACTTTTATTTTAAATAAATTCAGTAATAAAGAGCCTGCAGAAAAGGTGCCCAATATATATACACTGTACAAACTTATGCAGTACTACCCCCTCGGGTACAAAACTAACCCGACCATGATGGTTTGTCCAGCTCAACCCTTCCACATGAGGATGTCTGTTATGGGAGAAATGTTTAATGATGTAGGGAATTAAAATTGTGAAATCCGAATTTTATGTTCTCTTTATTAGGGCCCCGCATCAAAGATGTGAGTGTCCTATGGTAAACACTATGTCCATCTGTCTCATAAGTGTCAACCTCTGAAACCTCCATTGAGGGAGATCTCCCTCATTCCACATTTCCAATGAGGGAGAAAGTGCCTGAAATGTAACTGAACTGCTTTACTCAATTTATCTTTCCCTTTTTTATGTATCAAAATAACTCAAAAATACATTCATTTCATTCAGACATGCTTGTTATGATCATTACACACACCCTACAGTAACTAGGAGATCATATGACCACAGAACATAGATTTTGAGTTTGTTTGAGTTTGAACTTGAATGAGGAAGTTTCGAGGGAGATTGGTAAATTTTGGTCAAAATGAGGGAGTCTCCCTCCTAATGAGGAAAGGTTGACAGCTATACTGTCTAGATAGCCACACTTTCGTTTCCAGATATTATCTCAGAATCCAAAAGACAAATCTTTAAATTTGACGTGGTGATGTACTGTGATCTGTAGATGTACAATAGGAGTTTGAAAAGTTTTTAATACCAAGGTCAAGGTCACTATTACTAAAAATTGACCTTGGTGGGTATGGTCCTTATCTCAAATCCAAAAGACCAATCCTTTTCAAATTTGTCGTGGTGATAAACTGTGATACATTGTATGTAGATGTCTAATGGGGGATTCAAAAATGTATGGTCAAGGTCAATTACTTAAATTAGACCATGTTAAGTTGCGGTGAAAGAGTCCCCGGTTTTCAGTATCTTATTCTATGGAAATTGTTTCTGTTGCACCATTTTTGTCCAGCTTAATGGAAATTGTGGTTGAAAAAATATTGATAGAAAATTTTAGTTAATTTTCTTTCACAGTGCAAAGATTTATTTCAATGATATTACAATGGGCTTAAACAAAATTTGTTGAAGAAAAAAGAAAAAATATCATGAAATACAGAAGAAAATGCATGTGACCTTTAATTTGGCAGAAACGTTTGTATGTCCTCTTTGTGGGCACAGCCTCTGTTTATGCCTAGCTATTATTTTTACTTCTAATGGCTATGCAGTATGGTTTTATAAACCTTTTATGAGTCGTGCTAAAACCTCAATAACTCCACCTGAATTCGTATTTAAGTCTAATTCAGTTCCCTTACAGCGTGCCGTGTTGCTGTTATAAAGACTTGGTACTGGCTAGAGGGATAGGTTGACAACCTACTGTTGGAGTGGGAGAAGGCAATAAGTTGTAATTACTTGTGGCTTATCCCTTGTTCAATTTTAATTGGCAACAAAATATCTATAAAAGTAAAGTAGGTAAGAGTTACTCAATATTGAATAGGATTTTTTTGCAGCTTAAATTGATAATCTGTGATCTAATATCTATTTACAATATGTTCATTGTGTGTTGTCTATGTATGTCATTTGTAATTGCTCACCTGACTGAAGGACAAGTGACCTTATGCCATGGCGCAGCGTCCATCGTCTGTCGTCCGACTGTCCGTAAACTTTTCCTTTAAAACGCTACTTGTCCTGAACGGCCGTGTAGATTTTCGACTAAATTTGGTCTGGAGCATCCTTAAGCCATGGGGATTCAATGTTGTATTAGCAGGTGGGGGCAGAGGGGTGAGCCGCTAGAGGCCCGAAAGGGGAAACTGGGGTAAGAACCTTTGAAATCCTTCTTCTTCAATAGGGATTGAGGTATTTCATCCCAATTTTGTCTCGAGCATCCTTGGGCCAAGGGGACTCAATTTTGTATAAGCAGTTGGTGGGGGCTGAATAGGGGAAATAGAGGTAAAAACCTTTGAAATCCTTCTTCTACCATAGGAATTACAGGATTTTATCCCAATAAAGCCTGGAGCATCCTTGGGCCAAGGGGACTCAATTTTGTATAAATCAAGAATGAGGCCACTCTGGGTGCTGAGTCTTGCGAGGCTCAATAGGGAAATTTGAGATTTAAATCTTTATAATCTTTCCTCTTCTGTACCATTAAGAATCATTTACCATGGTTGCTTTATTATCCAGGTGAGCGATACAGGCCCTCTGGGCCTCTTGTTTATTATCGTTGTACTATTGGTCACAATAAGGAACTCCACAAAGCTCGGGTTACATGATTAGCGTATATGATTTAAACTTGTATCACGTTGCTCCAGAACAGAAGTTAGAAATGAAAGTACAAAGATGACGGTGGCGCCTTTTCTATATTTTAAGCTCACCTGGCCCCTTGTGCCGTGGCGCAGTGTTCGTCGTCTGTCCGTCAGTCGTCCGGCGTCAATATTTCACTTTTAAACAACTTCTTATTAATAACCAAAAGGACTAGGTGATGATATTTGGCCAGTTGTATGCTGGGATGAAGGGCTACCAGTTTTTAAAAATGAATGACCTTCACTAATATTAAAGGTCACAGGGGTCAAATATGTTAAAATCTTTAAACGGCTTCTTTTGATTAACAAAAATGCCAAGGTGGTGATATTTGGCCAGTTGTATGTTGGGATGAAGGGCTACCAAGTTTGTAAAAATGAATGACCTTCACTAATATTAAAGGTCACAGGGGTCAAATATGTTAAAATCTTTAAACGACTTCTTCTGAATAACCAAAATGCCCAGGGTGGTGATATTTGGTTACTAGCATGCTGGGATAACGGGCTACCAAGTTTGTTCAAATGAATGACCTTGACTTAATAAATTCGAGGTCAAAATTGTTTAAAATCTTTTAACAACCTCTTCTGAATAACTATGAGACCCAGAATGTTGATATTTTGATGAAGGGCTATGTCACATTTGGTGAGATATGTAAATGACCTAATCTCATTAAACAAAAGGTCTACGGTGATGATATTTGGCAAGCTGCATGCTGAAATGAAATGCTATAAAGTTTGTTCAAAGTAATGACCTTGTTCGAAAATCAAGGTCACAGAGAACAAATGATTTAATAAAAACTGGTTGTTTTGAATGACTCATAGTCATAAATACCGATATTTTGCCTGTAGCTTTATTTTAGATCCCTTTTTAGGTTGCAAGTGTGAGATTAATACCAGATGAGCGATGCAGGCCCATTGGGCCTCTTTTTTATATAAATTCAAAATCAAATCATACAATGTGGTTGCTTTGATAAAACACCAGAGGAAATATTGGTAGACTTGATTGTTTAAAAGTCTTTTCCTACGGGAAGGATACTGTGGCCTACCAACTACATATCTTGGGTAATACATTGTGTATAGTAAAACCTCGATACTATGCCCTTGTTTAATTTGCCGCCTCGCTAACAGCCAAAAAATTCCAAGGTACGTTTCTCTCTTTTTCTTAAGATTTTCACTCAAGTTATCGCCAAACCCCTTTATAACGCCAAATTTTCTAGACAAATGGTGGCAGTATAACGAGGTTTTACTGTGTATGCATTTTATATTAGGTGTTCTTCCCCTAGGAGAATAGTATTGTGTTGTAGAATGTAGGGTATATTTTGTATAACTAGAGTTCTCTGGCCCCTGTTCTATAATATTTCTGAAGTTAACGGCATTCCGTATCTTACATTTTTCCATTTGAAATCATTTCTGAAGTTAGGAAAATCTCCTAAGGACAGTTTCCTGATTTGTATCAATGCTTTCCAATGGTAACAGTAAGTTAAGGACTTTTCTTTACGTTAATGATCATCGTCAAACTGGGTTTGGTCTGTTTTAAATTTAATTGTCCATCATAGCATGTTTATTAATTAAAAATCCAATTTTTGATCAATCTAGAAAGTGACACTCAAACAAATGACCTGTTCATCATACGGATAGTATTCTGATAGATAAGTCTCTTTCGAATGTTGTTTTTCTCCATTGCTGCAGAGACTTTCAACCAAAAAGAATGAACGTTTTTTTACACAAAATGCACATGCTAAATTCATTTTGATCTCGGATATGTTTGTAGTGTAAATTTATATAAGATTTATTATAAGTTTCTGTTCTTTGATATATCGTGGTCAACATCCAAAGGTTCAGCCAAGGACACTCCTATAGTAGAAGTCTTGCTCAAGTCCGAGTTTTTTAATGGGGGGGGGGCGAATTTATTCAAGCGAATATAATCAAGACACTGTCTAGGATATCTAAACTTTCCATAATACGGTATAATCTAATAAATGTCGGAAAGTTCTAAGTTGCCAGCATTTTATCACAAATAATACAATAATCCTGAAACATGTTAACTTTGTTGTACCATTAGTATATATGTGTGTGTAAGAATGCACAAATGTACGACTTATGATAAGTATTAGCTAAACAGTGTTCTGGATGCCTTCCCTGAATAGATTATATAAACAAGTGATTATGCAAGGTTATATGGCACTAAATACTTGATGAAGTTAATGTAACCCTGCATCAATAGTGTCCGAAAAGAACATAAGCTTCATTGCCAGAAGTAAACGTTTCTCGTTTACCTGCGATAGTTAAAGATAATTTTCTGACGTACATGACTTTAATGAATTTCCGCCCTTCGTAATACACATATGTTTTAATACACATGTTCTTAACCCTTTCACCACTGTAGACCAAAATCGACTTAATAGGTTAAGGTTGAATATTAGATTGTTGCTAACTATTCTATAGAAATGATGGATTCTACTCAGTTGCTTGACAGGTCTACCCTTTCAACAAAACACATTTTAAAAATACATCTTGGACAAACAAATTGTGATTAAATGTCTTCGAGCAATAGATGAAAAAAAGTAATTTCACAGTGAACACACAAGGACATAGTCAGTCGAGGAAGGTGACAGGACAATAATAGATCAAGGGGAGGGACATCGTACGAACCTTCATAAAACAGAGTTGAAATAAACCTGGTGCACCGAAATAGTCAACATATAGGGATATAAACCACCGATAATTTATGAGACCACGAAGAAGTCTATGATCACAAAAGATGCTATAGTCTCAAACCAGGTCGTGACAAAACTAAGATTTCAGGCGATAACAAACATTGGTTGATTGGTCGTGACAAAACTAAAATTTCAGGCGATAACAAACATTGGTTGATGGG